CCTGGCTCCTGCCATCGGATCAGCGCGGCAGCCGTGGCGGCCATTGGAGGGTGAACCAATGGCAAAGGAAGACCTTTCTCTCACTATCCACTCTGCCTGTCGAAGGAGAGAAGAGAGAGAGAGAAAGAGGTAAGGCATTCACATCAACCTACATTTGCAAACCTGCTTCCCCTGCTCTGTTTTCTTCAGACAATACTTTCTTCTAACACACTACAACGTTCACGTTTGCTTTCCTCAGTGTTTGTCGTCAGACTCCCGTGCTAGCCCGTATTCCTGAGGGTGGCATCTTTGCTAGTTCTAATCACGGATTCCTCCGAGTGGCTAGAGCAGTGTTTGCCACGGAATGAGTGCTCAGTAAATATTTGCAAAGAAATACAGAACGGCATGGAAGGCAAGGTTTCAAGGTTTTCCCACTTAAAAGATTTTCCCACTCAGTAGCTTATCACATCATTTGAATTGATGGAGATTGTGCCCATCAGATCACTGATGCTCCGGCAGTCGTGGTGACGCAGTGTCATTTTTGAGAAGCCACTCCCACTCACTCGTCCCTAGTTTCTCACCGCCCACGGTGACAGCGGCAGGGGCCACAAGCCCCGTGAGGCCCAGGGCCACCCCCCTGCCCTCAGTGCTCTGCTCCTGCATCCTTCTTCCCCAGCTCTCCACTGTGCAGGTGGAAGCAGCCTCTGCCTCCCATGGTTTCTCCTGGACTGCTCTGTTACCAAGTCAAAGGCCAAGTGAAAAGGTTAAACCATTACTTCCTGAAGACACAATTCCTGTAGTAAATATATTCTTTCCTTGTCAAGAGGCTGATTGATAGGACTTCTTTGATTTGATGAACTCACATGGAGGCGTCTGAGAAATTCCCAATCGCGTTTCATGGAACTTCCCCCCTCACAGAGCACTTCACCTGTGTTACCTTGATCTTGATCCGTACAAGGAGACTTTGAGGGATGTCAGACTGGTGTCATCTATGGTAAAGAAGCGCTGGGACTCAAATCTGCATGTTTTGACTTCAAGTACATCCCCTGAGTATTTCCCCAGATCCATGCTGAGACATTAACTCAGAGGGGCAACACGCAAGCAAACTCGGTCTGTGCACTGTCTACTGGTGGATTTCCCAATTGGCTATTATTCCACAAAAGCTAGTAAAATGGCTTGAAGTAGGTTCTCAAATATATCAATAGATCTTTCTTCTAAATGTTGAGTTTCATCACTCCAAAAATGCCTTTCACACTGAATTTGACTATAACAGACACACAGATCTACTGGATGAACTGACTGGGCTAGGATTCAGCACTAGCTTTGGACGGAGAGGGAGACGGACGCTTCCACTTCCTTGTAGAACGGTTATGATAACAGACATGCAGGACTGAAAGCACCACAGTCATCTACAGGGGCACTGCATACCCAGAGGCAGACCTAAAAGACCGCACAGCTCCAACAGTTCTCATGTCTTCTCTTCCTGCCACGCACACAGAACCCGCGCCCTAACAGTCTAGCTACAATTCTTGAACTGCGTCCTCAGAGACTGCCGTTGGATGACTGACTTTTCCAGCTGTGCCCAAAGATTGATCCGGTGCCTGAAAAATTTCTCCACTTGTGTATTTCCTCGGTCTGACACGCTTTTGTCAGTAAGTCCTTTACACAATCTAAAGTCAGGCCTCTCTTTCCAAAGAAGTTTTCCACGGTGTGGAGCAGACTGTGGATTAAATTCTACAGGCCGTGAAAACAGTGTTCCTTAATACAATCTGACCTAGACTGCATTCTAACAAACTTAGAGTTAAAACAAACAAAACAAACAAAACATCTTGACAAGCATCTTAGGAAGCTCACTTTGGACCACCCCCTTTCATTCCCGGATCCTAGACTTGGGGTTTCTGTAGTTTAAGGAAAGAGCCATGGTGCATGACATAATTCCTCAAGGCCTTGCCCGGTGAGAATCCTCCTCAGAGATGCGCCAGCTTCGCTGAAGGCCCTGCACCTTAGGAATGCTCGTCCTTCTGACCTGTGGGCTGTGATCTGCACGTGACACACAGCGTGGACTGCCTACCCAGCAACCACAACTCCTTTGACAGTTTGGGCAGTGAATACCAACCTCCAAGGGCTGGACCACCATCTTCCAGTGACTGCTTTAGGGCAGGACGTGGTTGAGAGAGGTGAGTCAGAGTCTCGTCTTAGAGAACAGGCCCTTTGGAGTTCCTCCCTCCACCCTTCCCATACTAGATGCAATCACTGGAAAATATGACGGTTGGAGCAGCAGTAGCCAATATGTACCAACAGGCAAAAAGCTAGTAGCTGGAAGCTAGTGTGCAGAGGAGAGGGGAGTGGGAGAGTGCAGAAAGCCTGGGCTCCCCAGAACCACCCCTGCAAACTCTCTGAAATGAGCGATGAAAATCTGTGTAACTTAAACCACTGCTCCCTGTGGTTCCTGCTTCTTGCTGCCAGATTTGTAACATCTGATACCACAGAAGAGGGACTGAGACACATAACTCTATCTGGAAGATGGGCCCTGCTGGGGAGACACAGATTGTCAGCTTTATCCAGGTCACAGGTTGCCATCTCTAAAGTCAAACTGTCATTCAATAGTAAGGTATGTGCAGGCCACGGGTTCAGGCCTGGAGACACTAAGCAGAGAAGTAAGGATGCTGCCGAGGTTATGAACCCCAAGAGAAAGCAAATCAGGAACCTTACAGGGGATTCTGGAAAAAACAAACGCTGCCAGAGATTCACCCAAAAGTTTAGGAAGATTCTAGCACCCTGTACTGCCGATAAAGAAACGTGACACCACTCCTATCAGAATAAGGCCGATGACTGTTAGAAACAGCCAGGTGGAGGATTTACTCCAGCTGTTTCTTCGATACATCCGACAACTCAGAAGTACAAGTCTACAGGTTAACGCAGAGGTGACTGCTGCGGAATGGCTGGGTTCTTCCATCTGAATCAGGAAAGATGTGAGCACCACTACGCCTACGAGCAGACTTCCTTAACAAAGGGAACTGACCAGCCCCTGTCTCAGACCCAGGGCTTCAGTGAGAGGCACCGGACACCAACGCTGTCAGCAAGGAAGGGGCACTGATTCCAAGTCCAAGAAGCACTAAAATCGCATCATAGTCACCCCAGGAGAAAGCAGTGGCAAGGAGGTCAGCACGGCCTAAGAATGTGCCCTGGGGAGTCTGACTTCACCCCAAGCCTCAGGGCACCCCATGCCATACTCACTCTGTCTGAAAGTCTGCACAGCGGGGTCGTGGGGGCAGCCGTCAGGCTGCACCTCTGGACGCTCACATTCACACTGGACGCCCGGCTTCAAGGTGCTGCTCCGTCTGCAACGCCAGCTTCCTGCTAACGCGCACTATGCTCTCCGCCATCTACACAGAAGACCCGAGTGGAGTTCTGGCTCCCGGCTTCAATCTGGACCAATCCTAGCTGCTGTGGGAACTTGAGGAAGGAACCAGCAGACCAACAGCCTGTGTCCCTGCGTCTGTTTCTGTTTTTGTGTCGTTCAAATAAAACGGAAGCAAGTAACGTGACACCCAGCACGCACAGTTCCATAGTACATGTCTTCAAGAGATGTCTCTTCAGAGCAGAGAAGGGGAAGCTAAATGCGTGTGTGAAGGGTGTCCAGGGCGACAGAAATCAGGCTGTACCCATCTGCAGAGGAAGGAGTCACTCTAAAGGATGCAGAAGGGGGCAGCTCGGGAAGGTCAGCCGATCACGTCTCAGCCTTCTGGCTAAGATCCAGTGTGGAAAGGCCAGTCGAGCATGGTCTTAAATGAGATGTAGGATTGAAAAGATACAGGACTTCCAACAAGAGACTAAACACAGACACACGGAAGCACAAACATGAAATAAACTGAGCTTCCCTAATCGGCTACTGCATGAGGCAGGTGAGAATCTTTACACAGTGTGAAGGTACTAGTTATGCCTTGCTTACCATTTAGGAAGAGTTAAATGACTAAATATATTGACTTGCCTATCATGAACCCAGCATCCACATCTTACCTCCCTGTTTTCCTTTGACTATCTTCCAAAATAGAGTTTTATTCAACATAAAAATTTAAAAATAAAAAATTTATTTATTTGGAAAGCAGACTGACACAGGGAGAGGGAAAGACAGATTTTCTGCCCACTGGTTCACTCTTCAAATGACCACAATGGCTGGGACTGGGCCAGGCCAAAGCCAGGAGCCAGGAACTTCATCCAGGTCTCCCATGTCAGTGGCAGGGGCCCAAGTACTTTAGCCATCTTCTGCTGCTTTCCCAGAAGCCTTAGCCAGGAGCTGGACTAGAGGCAAAGCAGCAAGGACTCAAACCAGCATTCTGCTATAGGATATTGGCATCGCACGTGTGGCTTAACCTGCTGCGCCACAATGGCCCAGACACACTGACTTCACAGGGCAAGCCACCTCCACAAAGATGTTTAAGGAGATATTGTGGAATACTGTGCCAAGGTCTGGGGCTAGGAAATGCTTCCCTGTATTTCAGAGGCATCATTGAGCTTCCTTATTAACAAACAGTTATCAAAACTGGGCCACGCTCAGGAAGCTACTACAGTACAAAGACATGAAAAAACAAAGAAGGGCTCGGCACCGCGGCTCACTAGGCTAATCCTCCGCCTTGCAGCGCCGGCACACCGGGTTCTAGGCCCGGTCGGGGCGCCGGATTCTGTCCCGGTTGCCCCTCTTCCAGGCCAGCTCTCTGCTGTGGCCAGGGAGTGCAGTGGAGTGTCGCTCCCCCTCTTCATGGAGGAACGACACAGGACCCTGCGCTGTTCTTCTGTCTGCTCGGCCCTCCCCGGGTTTGCTGCTGGTTCTTCCCGGGTTGGCTACTGTCCCTTCCACCTCCGTGGAAGGGCGGTTCCCCCTGGCCACATTCCCCACTTCCGCAGGGGAGCGGCACTCCGCCGGCTGGCTCTCTTGGGGGCTGCACAGGTGTTCCCTTAGATGTTCCCCTTAGATGTTCCTCGTGCATGCTGTCTCTCTCCTCCTTTATAGTCCTCCTCTGCCAATCCCAACTCGGCTGCCCACACGCCGAGCATGCTGCTCTCCTCCAATCAGGAGCAAGTCCTACAGTTTATTGGTTGAACTGGAGGCAGTTGTGTAGAAGCTGTTTTCTTCACTCCCAGCGCCATATTGTGGGAGAGCAGATGCATAGAATAAGTCTTAATTCCAGTAACTTAGTCCAGTCCGAGCTGCTCCCCACAGATCCCCCTTTCTTTTTATTTTTTGGCGTTGATACACGCCTGTCTTCGGTGTCCCGCGGCACACACTCTGCTCTGCTTGCTAGAGTTGCCACAGGTTCTTACAAGTCCTATCAATCAGGCAAACCGAATCCGGGTCCTCTCTTCGCCATGTTGTGAGGAGGTTTTTAGGCGCTGATGCGTGCCTGTGTTCGGTGACCTGCGGCTCATGCTCTGCTCGAGCCGCCTGCTGGTGCTTACCGCCTTAATCAGGCAGACCGAATCCAAGCTTTCTCATTGCCATGTTGTGGGGTGACTTATTGGTGTTGATAACGTGCCTATCTTCGGTGACCTGCGGCGCATAAGCTGCTAGCCGCCCGCAGGTGCTCATCGCCTCACTAATCGGGCAGACCGAATCCAAGCCTTCTAATTGCGGTATTGTGGGGAGGCCTTACTGATGTTAATTCGTGCCTGTCTTCGGTGACCTGCGGCGCATAAGCTGCTAGCCGCCCGCAGGTGCTCACCGCCTCCCTAATCAGGCAGACCGAATCCAAGCTTTCTCATTGCCATGTTGTGGGGAGGCCTTTCTATTTCTCTATTTCTCTATGTCCGGGCATTCCTATTTCTCCCATTCTACTTCCATCTTCCAGCATTCCCATTTCTCTCATTTTACTTCTAAACTTCTGTTTCTCTTATCCCTGCGGCTTCCCGGCGGCGCTCGCCCTGCGGCAGCTTCACGGCTCTGCGCGGCTTCCCGGCGCCTCGCCCCGCCGGCGGGTTCCCGGCTCTGCGCGCACGCTCCGCGGTCTCCACGCACTTTGCGCCCGCACCACGGCCTCGCGCCAGCCCCACGTTCCCTATCTATTCACGCCCCGTGCTCTCTCTGCACGCGGCGGCTTCCGCGAATGTTTCCGCCACCACCGGCATTCAGTCCAAGTTCCCCGGACTAACCTGGCGAATTTCAACCTGGCGGCCCACGTCTCTGCCTCTGGTTCCAGATCTTCGCCTCTTGCTCCCCGGGGTGACTTGAAGAATTCCAAGGTGGCTTATGTCTCCGCCTTGACCTGCACTCGCGGCTTCATCCTCCCTAACATTTTTCTCTACCCGGTATGTTTCCTTAAGTTTTCTTCCAACAATATTCCTCTCATTTCTCCTGGCTTCTCCCCACAGTCCGTATCCGAGTCCAAGCCTCCTCCAGGTTTCACTTTCGCTTTCAGTCTCCTAGCTTCCCCGCCATAGTCCGCATCCGAGTCTATGAAAGCTTTCACTTTCGCTTTCAAATCCTAACTTCTTTCCCACAGTCCATATCCAAGTCTATGCCTAGGCTTTCAATAGCTTCTTCCGGCACCTTTCTCGTCCGGCTTTCCCCTAGGCTCTTCGCTAGTCTCTCTCTCCGGTATTTTCCTGCTTCTTCCCGTTTCTTCCCTCCTAAGTTTCCTATCCGTCCTAGGTTTCCTATCCGAGTCACGGCACCATTATGTCGCTCCCCCTCTTCATGGAGGAACGACACAGGACCCTGCGCTGTTCTTCTGTCTGCTCGGCCCTCCCCGGGTTTGCTGCTGGTTCTTCCCGGGTTGGCTACTGTCCCTTCCACCTCCGTGGAAGGGCGGTTCCCCCTGGCCACATTCCCCACTTCCGCAGGGGAGCGGCACTCCGCCGGCCGGCTCTCTTGGGGGCTGCACAGGTGTTCCCTTAGATGTTCCCGGTGCATGCCGTCTCTCTCCTCCTTTATAGTCCTCCTCTGCCAATCCCAACTCGGCTGCCCACACGCCGAGCATGCTGCTCTCCTCCAATCAGGAGCAAGTCCTACAGTTTATTGGTTGAACTGGAGGCAGCTGTGTAGAAGCTGTTTTCTTCTCTCCCAGCGCCATATTGTGGGAGAGCAGATGCATAGAATAAGTCTTAATTCCAGTAACTTAGTCCAGTCCGAGCTGCTCCCCACAGTGGAGGATGGCCCAAGTGCTTGGGCCCTGCACCCCATGGAAGACCAGGATAAGTACCTGGCTCCTGCCATCGGATCAGCACAGTGCGCCAGCCACAGCGTGCCGGCCGCAGTGGCCATTGGAGGGTGAACCAACGGCAAAGGAAGACCTTTCTCTCTGTCTCTCTCACTGTCCACTCTGCCTGTCAAAAAAAAAAAAAAATCTTTCAGGAAGAATGGAGATAAAATGGAATAAGTCCCCTGTGCCAAACTTGTATGAACTTGTGAGCCTAGTGGCAGGGTCTGTGACGCAGTCTTTCTGACAGATACAATCAAGCTTTTATTGTTCTGATTCCACTTAGAGTAAAATACAGATTATAAGCCTGGCTTCAACTTGACAGTCACTTCGGCCAGGCCCTTCCTAACTGATGAGAATAAAGCTCAAGATTTGCAGGAAGACGTGATGTCAGGCACAGCAGTTACGATGCCACAGGGGACGCCCACATCCCACATCAGAGTGCCTGGGTTCAAGTCCTGGCTCTCTCCCAATTCCAGCTCCCTGCTCATGTGCACCCTGACAGACAGCAGGCGATGACCCAAGCAGTTGGGTTCCTGGTACCCACCTGGTAGACAATGAGTTCTTGGCTTCTATGTCTGGACCTGTGGCAGTCTGTGGGCAATGGGAAAGCGAACCAGCAGACAGGAGCTCTGTCTGCCTGCCTTTCAAAAAGCAAGAGGAGGTGGGAGGCTTCAGTGCCTGAATAAGTTTCATTTACTTCTAGTTACAAACACTGCATAGCTCAGAACTAACACCTTCTTTCTTTCTCAGTGGAGAACATGAAAACTCACAGATAAAACTTTTAAGTATTTTGCCCCATTGATACAATGCCTTTAGTATTAAGTTAGATATATACATGTCTCCTTCCAGTACCAAAACAAGAATAATTACTTGCTTTCCTATCACATTAGAAAAAGTTCTTTCCAAAATAAAAGTAGTGCCACACTGCTGTACTATTTTTTAACCAGAATTTGACAGAGTAAGTAATGCCACTGTCACTTACATATATGAATGACAGAAGAAATGTCAGCTTTTGTAATTCCATAATTCTCAAATAATGACAATTAATGAAAACACTCTTTACCAGTGGGAGTTGTTTTAAGCAGTAGATGAGGGAGACACTGAGCTTTTTAAGATTTATTCTCATAACCAAACTGCATCTCTCTTCATCATTATCCAAAATATAATTAAGAGGTGACATTTAAAAACAAACAAGAAAATCAAACTGCATGTTAGCTTGCAAATGAGACACTCTTGCCGCTACTCCAGTAGCACAGTCCTTCCTTCTCCAGCTTCCAGCTTCTGCTACCGGGAGCATCCATCTCACTGGTCAATACGGGAAACGCTGGATCATATTATCACGGAAGGTTACTGGATAGGTATTAATTGTGTTGTTTTACTGCTATAGAAATATTTTCTGACCTTTCCAAAAAGAAAACCAATCAATACAAGTATCTCGTAAAGATGGCCGTTTCCACCCTCGGTTAGCTCCAGTCGTCTCAAATTTATTGAGTTGTGTATTTGTAGTCTTTCCTGCTAGGCCATCTGTTTGAACAACCATCTACGAGCAACAGGAAAGGCAGCCTTTCATGTTAGCCCAAACACACCAGTCAGTGGCCTCTAGAACTGCTGGGCTGAAGCCAGTGAATTATCAATACACAAAATTTCTGCAGAAGCAATCCACTCCCACACATCTCAAGGCTAAGTCACCAGAATGTAATAGACAAGCCGTCTGAATCTTTTTTCTCCTTACTTTCAACCTTGGCCTGCTGGTTTCTGTGCCTCTCACAGACACTCACGTTCTCACTTCGCTAACAGAGTGTGTGCTACTGGAGGGCACATCCTTGCAAAGCAAGGTAATCAGGGGTTGATTGCAGGCCCTGCAGCCAATGTCACCCTGGAACTCTCCAGGGCCCGAGCCTCTTGGGTGTGTGCAGCTCACAACACCACCTGAACACACATGGATCTTGTCCTGACACAGTCATAGAGGGGCCCGTCCATTCATCCCTAATGAAATGTGTACACACACAGCTGGCTACACTATGGAAGCTCAGCTGCTACGACAGTTTCTCACTACAGGAGAGCCAAGGAAGTAAGAGGAATCTAACAGTAACAACAATAAGCCACTAACAGTATCAGAAACACCGAATGGGGACAGCTGTTTGGTCCAGTGGCTAAGACAGTTTAGCACACCAGCATTCCATACTGGGGTGCCCGTGTTTAAGTGCCTGCTCTGCCCCGGATTCCAGCTTCGGGCTGATGCTCACCCAGGGAAGCAACAAGTGAAAGCTCAGGTAGTGGGGTCCCTGCCACCATACTGGAGATTTGGGCTGAGCTGCTGGTTCCTAGGTTCGGCCATGTTCAACATCAGTCATTGTGGGCATTTGGGGAGAGAACCAACAGATAGGAGATCTCTGTTTCTCTGCCTTTCAAATGGAAAAAAAAAACACAAATAAAAATTATACAAATAAAAATTACATAAATATATATCTCTCAAATGAATTCTTTTTTTCTATTAACATATGGACTACATCTAGCCAGATATTCTAGTTTGCTGATTTGGGAGGGAAATGAGACAGTCAACAATTACCAGAAGGCCAATCATGTGCGAGCTAAGAGATCCAAAATCAAGTGTACTGAATGTTCTCTAACAAGTGATTGGCTCGGAGGACCGAGAAACACAGCTCATGGGACGCTGACTCCTCAGTGATATTGGGGAGTGCACTGCTGATGGACCCAGCAGCCTGGACCAATCTCCAGAGAATGATGCAAGTAGGAGATGCAACCCTATTTCCACAACATTTCAGAAGTAGAGAACAGATGACTGATCGTTAGGGGACAGCCACCGCAGGTGGTGGTGAGGGGTGGGTTTGGCTGTAAAAGGACGTGATGTGGAACTCTTCTGCATCTTGACTTTGGTGGTGAGTCCTAAACCTACACGTGATAAAATAATGTAAAACACATGCATGCACACACACACACACACATACATGAATGCAAATAAAACTGGGAAAATCTGCATGAGATAAATGGATTGTGACACTGGATGGTATTTGGGCAAAACAGTGCCAATGGGATAAACTGGATAATGTGAACAGGGATTTCTCTGTATCACTTCTTACACTTGCACACACATCAAAATTATCCCAAAAACTTCACTTACCCAAACAAACACACATGCACGTGGTCCAGCCATCTGTGAAGGGTAAAATCCTGCCCTACTCCACTCCCTCACGGTGGTCTGGTGGAGCCTTCCTAGAACAGTTGCTGGTGGTCCCTCCCAGTGGATGGGCTTAGCAATTCTCACTTGCCCCCTGAGACCTCCCCTGCAGCAGTGGCTGTGAGCACCCTACACCCTAACTTCTCTCCCTGCTCATCCTTCCTGTCTTCGCTCACGTTCGACTACGCACTACTCCTACACCGCGGTGCATTATGAATAAGCCAGGCAGTTTTGAACCTGATAGACAGGATTGATTAGATTCCCAGTGAAGACCTTTCAATGCCTTTTATCCCCAAGGGAGATCTCAGCTCCCTTTGCCCTCCCAGGCTTGTCTTTTCTGGGCATTTCTGGGCTCTCAGAATTTGAGAGAGGACTGTGAGGGAACACACTCATTTCGTGCTCAGGCCAGTATCTGTAGACACGGGCAGGAGAGAGCTCTTGGGAGACTGATTGCTGGGAAGTAGGAAAGCAGAGGCCAGGGGTTAGCAGCGACGCCCTGCCCAGCAGTGTCCCAGGACAGCACGCACCCCAGGGAAGGAATGCCCGTCCTTCTTGGCACACACAAGCCTATGTGCTGGACGTTGCCGGCCTGGAGTCTCCCCACAGGTCACCGCCTGCTCATTAGGATGCAAGGGGACCCAGGTCAGTGGTGGGAAGGTGCTCATGGACCAGGGCTTCTTTTCCTCCTCAGAGGAAAACTGCTCCAAGTGTCTGAATATCGTTAAGTACAGGTAGCTCATCCACAAGCTCCCAACCTCGTTACAGAGGAGACGGGTTAAGAACAGGGACTCTGGAACCAGACTGACCCCGGCTGCACCATTTCGTAGCTGGTGACCTTGAACCAGTTATGCAGTCTGGCTCTACTTCCCCACGTGTAAAGTGGGAACTTCCTTGTCCCTACCAGGTGGAGCCACTGAGTGTTATGTCAGACACAGGGCTTGGGGGAGAGCCTGGAACAAAGGAAGGGTTACAGAGGTGACCTTTCTACATTTTTACCTCTCATTTGACAGCGTTTTCCAATTATTTTCTCCCTCTGTTTCTTTTCCTTTTTCTGTGTATTATACATTTCTATTTTTAATGGACATGTATACACATTTATGGGACCCAGTGTGACATTGATACATGAATACAATGTGTAATGACCCAATGAGGATAGTTACTGGCACATCTGTCACCTCCGACTTTTACCATTTCTGTTTGTTGGGAACATTCCAGATCCTCTCTACTAGCCATTTTGAAATAGTCAAGTAACTACTGTAAGCCACAGTTATTCTAAGGTGCATCAGGGAG